CAGAGCACATGTCCTTTTCCTCCGGTTTTGGCGACCCGGCGGTTCGGCTGGTGTGTCCCCCCTTCAAGGACCTGGTCACTCGGTTCTCCGATCTCAGTCTCCGGTTTCAAATTCAGTCTTCCTGTAGTAACTATATTAATTGTTTAAATATAAACTTTTATATATTAAATATATAAAGTATATAAAATATATATATAATATTGTTATTATAGAGAATTGTTTCTAAATATAATTATATATATTTAGAAATAGAGATATAATAGCTTAGTAAAGTAGTTTAGTTATCACTCTACCAAATAGCAGGTTCAAGTTTCAAATCTTACAAATAATATTTTTGAAAAATAAACCTGCATTATAATAATAATTATCTATTGATCAGTTAAATCTAGAATTGATTATACCATCTAGTATAAAAGCTTTAGTGTATAAATACCAAGAAACTAGAATAATTAAAACCTGCTTGGAAAAATCCAAATAAGAAATAATTATAATCTTTAACAATACTATAGTAAAGACTCAAATTTAAAAGTTAGAATCAAGATTAAAAAACCAAACAACAACAAAATTCTTTAGTAAAAGGATTTACTAACCCAATCACCAATTTAGAAAAGTTAAAAATTTGTAAAGCAATTATAAAATATACAACTCTGCTAGCTAATATAAAAAACTAGTTATAAGAGTTTCTGCCTATCAAACTAGATGTTATGGAAATTAGACAGAAAACTAGTTAGATAAATAAATGCTAGATATATTTAGAAGACTAGTCTACCAAATTGAAAAAAAAGAATATATACTAAAAAATTATATACTAAGATAAGATGAGAATATTAAGTATCTAAAGACAAGCCAAGATCAAATCTTGCAAGTCATAAATTGGAAGTAAAAAATAAACTAATAAGAAAATAAATAAAAAAAATCTAAATGCTAGTACTAAGATCAAGAAGTAAACTTTATAAAAGCAAAAATAGTTAAATAGAAAATTCTAATTGTGAATAGAAATCTTAGCAACTGTGTAAAACCAAATTGGCCTGAATAAGATAAAAAAGGCTTTAGTAGATTTATTTTAAGAATAGCTATGCATTTGCTCAACAGAGAAATGCAAGCCAGTAATTAGTTAATATAAACTTAGAATAAATTATGAAAGTTCTAAAATAGAATATAAAATTTAACAAAAACAATCAGATAAAAATTTTAAAGTTAGTAGAGATTTGCTTATTTATAATTATAACCAAAAAGATTAAATAAATAACTTTTTAGTTGAGTTACAAATATAGCAACTAGTGTAGAATCTGTAGATAAGCTACTTAAATAGTTATTCAAAAGATGTATATATAGCCAGTTGTAACTTTATTATAACTATATACTCAATTAACTACTAATAAAAAAGTATTTTATAGCCAAAAAGATTATCTTAATACTGAAAAAAATATATACCATATTTTTGCAAAATAATATACCAGGGTATAATTTCAAATTTGGCCTAAATTAAGCTTAATTCAGACTATTACTTTAAATAATATTTTGACTTGTTATTTCATAAAAATATAGTGTATATATATATAGTATATTTAGCGTATACAATATAATTAGTATATTTAGCATATAGACAAATAGTATATAAAGGTAGCATTTACTCTAATATAAAAGGAAGGTTCAGATATCTCAAGTTAGTAATAAACCGTTTACTGGCCAAATCCACGCCTCTTTTGAGGATAGTATTTTTTGAAGAATCATATTTGGTGGATTACTGTGAGATCATATACTATCTATCAAGTATCAAGGAAGATTGAATCATCTTGACCAACGTACCGTGTCTAAAGGACAAATAAATAGTAGAAATATATAGTGAAAAAACAAAACGCATATAGTGAATAATTAAAAGACATAAAGACTAACGGGATAATAAATATACAAGTAAAAGAAAAGGACTAAATGGCTATAAGACTATAGGAATAGCAAGCTAAAAATATTAAGGAACTAATGGCTACAACTATCTGAAGTTAAAGAAGAAAGGCAAAGGAAAGCCAAAGTTGAGGCATAAAGAAGATCAAAGTTAAGACCTAAGGAAAGCCAAAGTTAAAGCATAAAGAAGGTCAAAGTTGAGATCTAAGAAAAGCCAAAGTCAAAGCATAAAAGAAAGATCAAAGCAAAGACCAAAAGAAAACATCATAGTTGAAATTAAAGTAAATAAATTAGAAGTGATTAGAGGATAAAGTTGCATATCATTCTTATATATATACTTCCCTGACATAACATGGCACAGCTACAGCACGAGGCAAAAAGAAAGACAAAGGCGAAGTATAAACGAAAAAATTGAAACAATTCACTTTACAGAATTTTTTTTTGGGGACAGAACTTCAAAATTTTTTTTTTTTTGAGACGATTAGTGGAATTTTTTTGGAAACCACCATATTAAAAACCTGGGTCAGCAACATTTTTTTTAAGCAACAAAGTGCTTAAGTAGACAAACTAGCAATTATATAACTCAAGCATAATACAAAAGCTTGGAAGAACATAACCAAAAGGATTGATGAATAACTATAGTAGAAACTAAAGGTGATGAAGTATAAGTTACAGAGATCTACAAACAAGCACAAAAATATATAGTCATAGTGATGAAGAAGCAATATTTAAACAATAAAGAGATCGAACACATACGTCATAAGTCGAAAAATTTTTCTAAGTGACAGACTTATGCGTAAGGATCGATGCATAAACTTTTGAATCAATAATCACCTGAAGAACCATCAGATCTAACAAAAAAAAAAAAAAAAAAAAAAAAATTTTTGATATAAAGAACTTTTCTAATTTTTTATACAATTATTATTATAAAAAAAAAAAAAAAAAAAATGTATGAAATTTACTAAGAAATGTCTATATGAAAATCAAGACATATCGAAGCTTGAACAAGAAAAAGTCAGAATACAGAAAGAAGAATCCAAAGCCCTGAATTAAGTAAGAAGAACCATCAGAAGGAAATCGACATCGTATATAAAGACTCATACAGGAGTCGAAAAAGAGAGACAAAGACTCGAATTAATAAAGCAAACGAATACATAAGACAATTGAAACTCAAATGTAACAAGCTCTTAGAAAAACTTACTCTGGATAAATTTGATAAAGTTCAGAATATAGTTGATCAAGTCCTTGAAAGACAGCTGATCAATGATACACAACTTCTGCAAGCCCTAGAATTAATGTTAGAAATTTTAGAAGATTTTACAAGTGACAAAAAAGAAATAGAAGTAGCAAAGCTGATTATTTACTTACATCAAAATGGAATCAGAATCGAAAATGTTGAACATAAAGCATTTACTTATTATCAAAAATCTGTTGATATGAATGATTCTGACATAACACATGGCATTAGACATTGCTACGAATATGGAAATAGAATTAAAATGGATGACGAATATAAAGTTTACTTCAATTGGTTAAAAGATTTCGAAATTGATAATAAAAGAGATGCTAAAACAGATGATGAAATAATGAGAAAACTGACAATGGGAAGACTGCTTATAAAAAGAGGGATGATGATTACAATAATGAAGATGTTAAAAAGTATAATCATCAGAAGCCTATTACTTACCAAGAGTTTGATAAAATGAAATACAGTGATGAAACAAATATTCATGGATTCTGCGATGAAAAAGGCATTAGAATTGAAGTAGATGAATATAAAGTATTCATTAATTATCAAAAATCGGAAGATATAAAACAAGTTGATGCGACAAACAACCTTGGATATAGTCATCAACATGGAGTCAGAGCAGAAAAGAACGAATATAAAGAACTTAATTATTATAAAAAAATTGCCAAAATGAATGACTCCGGGGAAATATTTCACGCCAGTTATCATGGAAGCGAGAATAAAGTAGAAAAAGCTAAATATAGAATCTACTCGGATAATGTTAAAAATTTTGAATATGATGATGATGCTAATAAAGACACCAGCGACAACAAAGCTGACAAAAACAATACAGATAATAGCATCTAAATGCTAGCAAAGCTGAGAATAATGATAAGATGATTGTTGAAAAAAATGGAAAAATAAATAAAGTAGAAAAATGTATTAGTGATGATAAAGTACCAACTAAAATTGACAACACGAACAAGATACCTACCAATAAAAAGCTTAAAGACGAATGTAAAATCTGGATGAAAAAGGTGGACAAATTGAGGAACATGGTTAGTAAATTAAATAGATTTAAAATGGACAAAAGAGGGGCATTCAGTTATTACCAAGAATCTGTCAACTTGAATCATACTTGTAACTTTTGGATGGAAAAAGTAGATGAATTTAAAAAGATTATCAAGAATGACATAAGTGAAATAAAAAAAAAGGACACATACCTAAATGATTACAGAAAACTTCGATCACCTGCTGAGGTAGATGTCATTCCTGGAAACTATTACCAGAATGAAATCGGAATTGAAGACGATAAACAAAAGACATTTACCTATCATCAAAAAACTGCTTATTCAGATAATACTAATGGATTATATAACGATGGACACTGTTATCAACATGACATTGGACTCGAAAAAGATGAGCATATAGCATCGATTCATTATCAAAGTAACAAGTTGCAAGATTTTGATAAACCAGCACACTCTAATGAAATGTTCAATCCTGGAGGAAAATCAAATAAATTTGGTAATTAGCAAAAATCGACTAACACAGTAGTGACCACAATAGCGAAAATAAAATCTGAAAACTTATCTAAATTCGTGGAATGAATTATCAAGAAGGGGAAAATTGTTATACTGAAAAATGGAATCGGAAATGAAATAACTATTAAAGATAGAAAAAAAAAAACATTCGAAAGACATTTAAGCTCTACTGAAGGTAGCAATCCAGATGGACAACATAATCTTGAATGTTGTTATAAATATGAAAGCAAAGATAAAAAGAGCAAACATAAAACAGAAATGTATAAGCTTGGGCCCTGTTGTCAAAACAGGATGAAATTGGAAGTGGACGAACAAAAGGCATTTAGTAATTATCAAATATCTGATGATGTAAATAATCCCAATGAAATGTATGATAATGAAAATACCCTATTTGATTCTGGAGGTTTAAGGTTGTTCATGGAACAAACAAATAAGATAGAGAAAAATGTCACAATTGCAAATTGATTGTTGGTATAATATGACCGAATTGGGCGATCGATTGCATATTTGTTTAGGTTTGGCACTTGATAGAATTAGTAGATTTAGGATATTTAGAACAATCAGGATATTTGGGATATTTGGGACATTCGGGATATTTAGAATATTTGGAATATTTGGGATATATAGCATATATAGTATATTTAGTATATATAGTATAATTAGTATATTTAGCATATAAACAAATAGTATATAAAGGTAGCATTTACTCTAATGTAAAAGGGAGGTTCGGATATCTCAAGTTAGTAATAAACTGTTTACTGGCCAAATCCACGCCTCTTTCAAGGGTGGTATTTTTTGAAGAATCACACTAGTAATATTTTACAAGGCAAAATATATATGAACAATATAAAATCAGATTTGTCATATAAGAAGACTTGTGTATTAAAACATAACAATTCTGAATATTTTCTTCACTATATTCCAATACTTAAATGTATTAAAAATATTTTGAAAATTTCTGATATATTACAAAATTTTGCATTGAATTATGAAGAACTTAGTAAAATTTTAGAGATATGTTTTATATTTTGTATAATTTAATTTTTAACTTTATTTATAAATTTATTTTTTATAGAATGGCAAAGAAATTATTTATAGAGAACAAAATAATGAAATATGGTAAAAATCTATACAAAATTTTTTGCCAATTGGTTATAAAATTCTATCAATTATTTTGTATTCTGATGCAACAAATTGTGATAATTTAGGAAAAAGCCAACTTCATCCTATATATTTGTTCCTTAGTAATATACCTACTTGGAGAAGAAACAAGCAAGATGCAAAGCAACTTTTAGGATACTTACCAATAATAAAATCATCTTCTGATATAGACAAATCTATAATTAGACAAACATTTTATAAATATTTAGAAATAATTTTAAAACCAATTTGATCTTTATCAATAAGTGGTATTGATTTATTATTTGGTGACAAGTATATACAGTCAACTCTGTCTATTCCGAACTGCCCGTTCTTTGATATTTAGTTCAGTTCTCAAAGAGGTATTATATGCTAATCTGAACTTTATAATAAAATTTATAAATGTCTTAGAGTTTTAGATACGGATTAAAGAGAGTTCAGATTAGAGAGGTTCGGATTAGAGAGAGTTGACTGTATAGCTTTTTTCAAAAATTTCAACTATAATTGCAAATTGGCCCGAGGCTGCAACATTTTGTTTAATATACAAGTCAACAAATTCAAAATACTCTTGTCATTTTTGTTTAATTGACAAAGAGAATCTTACTAATTTGAAGGTTTCTAAAAATAAATTAGAATTTAGAATGCATCAAAATATACAAAATTATTTTGAGAATAATGAAAAAAATTTAGTATGTATTAAATCAGTACAAAATTATTTTTGAAGATTTAAGTAAGTATAATTTATTTAATTAATTTTTAAAATTTTGCAAAATTATAATCTTCATTTATAAATAAATTCAAATTTTTGCAAATTTTCAAAAATAATTGTAATATTGCAAATCTATACATTATATAAATTTTTGAAATTTTTTGCAAATTTTTGCAATATTATACGTCTTATATATAAATTTTAAATTTTGCAAATTTTTGTAATTTTTACGTTTATATATATAATTTTTTTTATACTTTCGAAAATTTTTGTAATTTTATTCAAGTAGTTATAAAATTTTAAAATTTTTGCTGGTTTTTGCAAGTTTTTATAATATTATACGTCTATATATATAAATTTTATATTTTGCAAATCTTTGTAATTTTTATGTTTATATATAAAATTTTTTATATTTTTGAAAATTTTTGTAATTTTATTTGATTAGATATCTCTTAAATTGTAACACAGGCAAATTTGCCTATATTTTTATTAAAAAGTTTAATTTTTTTAATAAAAACTTATAGGTTTTATTTTTTATTGCACCTGCAATATATTGCACCCCTACTATATATTAGAATTTTACTAGGGTAATCTCTGTTGTATAACTAACAAAAAATAATTCTCTCACGATTTTACCTAACCCCAACCCTAACCCAAACACTAATACTAACTCTAACCCTAACATTAACACTAATCCTAATTATTATAGGGGTGCACCCTAACTCTAATTATTATAGGGATGCAATGTATTGCACTATGCAATAAATTATAAAATCCAAAACTTATATATTAATTTTAGCTATATATTTTCTAAGTAAAATATTTAATTTTAGATTTGTTTTATTAACTTTATT